TCAATAGCAAACATGGTGGAAATACTGATGTTATTTCCTCCAGTCAAAACTGGTCACGATATGATGGCAAAATATGCAAAGCAGACCGTTAAAATGTATGCAAAGCAATAAAGAAAGTAAATGCGGTTTTTTTGCACTTGTTTTTTTTTTTCTAAAGTACAACAGGGCTTTATTGTCAGCTAATTTGATAATGGTTACGAACAGACAGCCACACATTATTCACTCCACATGCATATCCTTCTTTATCAGATTTATGATTTTACAGAACTTAATGCAATCCTGTGGAAAACTAAGCTGGGAATTTAGAGGGTGAGAAGCAGCCAGGTGACGATAATTAAATTAACTGATGATCAGCAAGAATGAACATCTTTATAAAGCAGAAGTTTTGGCAGTTTGCTGGTGTGGAGCATTTAGATGTGTTTACACAACGCCACAACAGCCTAGGACTGGATATCCCCTACATCTCAGGCCCTATAAGCCTCATTTAAATAAGAAAGTTATTTCTTACTCTCTTGAAAAAAACCCATCCCAGCACTGGTTAGGGGTGCACAACTGCATCTGAACAAATGATAAGACTTCTAGAACAAATCCATTTTATTAAATTAAGTATAACAAAATACTGCTGTGAGTACATGTCATACAACAGCAGGCAGTGTTGTACTGCAGAGATTTACTAAATCTACGCAGGAGGCACAGCAGTAATTCAATTGAAATGTAAGCACAGATACAACAAAATGTGCATTAATTAAAAATAATTATAAAAAAAAAATTAAAAAGGACGAAAATCTATGTTGTGATTGTGTAATAGCATTTAACTGTCCGTGAACCACTGATGAGCTCAACAGATGAAGCAACCAAAACACTTCTGTGGTAACCTCTGGTTCCTTTCCTGAAAGTCACACATGCCAACCCACCTGTTCAAAGTCAACACCACCCATTTTTAGAAAAAAAAAGTACCACTGTTTATGGTGGCAGTAACCATTACACAGGTGCAGATTTATCCAGGTAATCCATAAAATCCATGAAAACATTCAGGATGCAGTGGAGGTATATTTAAATTCTTACTGATGTGCACAATTACTTTGTATGTATTTGAGAGTTACACAGAGAACTACATACTGCAGGTAGTATGTATGGATACATATAAATTCACTTCTTGCTTATATTGTGATACAACAGTGTCAAAATTCCAACTGCTACATAATACTACTGCTTGCAGAAGTAGCAGCGTTCATGGTTGTAGGAGTAGTGTTAACAACAGTACTGACAATATTAACTGTAGTAGTAGCAAGGAGAGGTTACACACTATTATGTGACTGCTGTATAAATATATATTCATAAAGTATAAAATGTAGAAATGTAAAAAAAAATAGGTAAAAGTAAAGTAAACATGTTGATATTTAACAAAGGTGTCAAGTCAGGTCAAAACCAGGAATCTTCCATTTAAATGGTCAGCATTTTAATCCGAAATAACAACAAGTCTGGCCTTCGACTGTTTATTGGTGCTGGATCTCTAGCAGCACAGATTTACGATTGTGTCTTTGTCCCACGACCGTCTCCTGACTATAAAATTAGGCCTACTATCATGCATCTGATTGGCTTCTAGCTATTCTTAGCCATAATCATTTATAAAATTGATAAGGGTCGTTACAACACGAGTCACTGGAAGGCAAAGACACAGAAAGACACGAGATCAACTGTGGGAGGCACACATACACATACCTTCATACCTTTAACATAAATGCTAAATATACAATGACCCATGCAGCAAATGTCATAGATGTAACATTTTCTTGGCAACAGATGATAATATGCAATGTTAACTGCAGTAACCAATTAACATAAGCCAGAAGGAGCCTAAGTTGCCATGTATCTATTGGGTTATATAGCTTTGCAATCATTATATCTGGGAATCATGTTCATAAATTGGCATGCTGCAGCTTTATTAAAGGTAGAGCGATGAAGGGCTAAAGAGCATTAACACTTGTAAGTTACAAAAAAGAACAAAAAGCAAAAAAGAAGAAAATGCATGACAAAAAATAAAAATAAACAAAACAATAACAAAGAAAAATACCCATCAGCGTGGGCTTTCAATCAAAGTGTTATTTTGAATTAAAGTATCATCAGAGATTTTCACAAAAAGTGGATCAATAAAAAAATATTTCAGTCAGGACCGCTATAGTGTCCTGACCACATCTGTCCTCCGTAAATTACAAACCAATATAGATCGACAGCTAGATAGAGGGATCTCAGTGTCCTTACAGAAAGGATATATACAGAAAGCAGCAACACCATCCCCTAAACCTTAAGTCAGACAAAGCATGATAGGTTGAAGTGCAGTCTGCAGATGCACAGCAGCTGTGTTCAGGGAAAAAAAAGTGCCAGTAAAATACATAGAAAGCTATCACCTGAACCTTAAGCTGATATTAGACTGCACTGAGATCAGCTGATTGCCTGGGATTGCAGCTGGGCTCGACTAACGCTATGCTAAATTACTCAAATAAAAACTTGCTGACACTTTGGTATGGACACGTACAAAAAGACACATACAAAGAGCCGCTTGTTCGCACATCCACCTCATCCTCATCTGTGTGTCCCTGACTCGAGGTATCGTTTATTTGTCCCCCTCTGTTACTTGCCACACATCATTTTTCTCTCGCCCCGACACACACCTCTGGATACCCCTGAATGTCAAACTGGGCAGACTGATTGATTGCATGTGCCAATGTGTATTTGCGTGCCTGAAAGACACTGTGATTACAGTTTATGTTATGTGTCCTGCTGTGCTGCAATACTCTCTCCCTCGCTGGCTCCCCTCCACTCTTTCTGTTTTCATCTCTGTCTATGTGCCTTTGTCATGGCAGCAGTGGCACATTGAGGGCACGGCGTTCTGGGTGGTCAACCTGATGGAGCTGCTGACTTGTGGTGCGGTGTGGATTAACATGGCATGGAGACTCTTAAGCCAGGGGAGGTCAATCATCACCACAACCCAACAGACCAGAGAGAACAGATGCCAATGCTGATATTGCCTTCCAAGTTCCAGTTTTATGCTTAAAAGCAGCTGGTTTACCACTAGTCATCTCTGTCAGTTAACTGGTATAAAACACACTCGTCTCAAGTGCTCTTTAGTGGCATGAGAGTCCATCAAGTCAGTGGGAGCCCAGCATGGAGACAAACATCAAATACGTGTAGGCAACAGCCTCACAATGAACTGGCTATAACAAAATTATTGGCCACAACAGAACCTTTTATCAGCTGTCAACAGCCAATTGCATTTTCTCATATCCCAGTTCACAATGAGCGAGCCAAGAGTTCTCTGTAAGTCTTTTACATCCCTCATATTAAAATAGATCCACCTATTATATTCAAATATCAACAGGGTTGCCCGTCTTTAACTCTTACCCTCATGAAGATGACGTCTGACAACCTGCCGAGTACCCTTAACGGCAAGTCTTGACTCTAAATACATCAATAAAGATGTGGTTTGATGACCATTAAAACAGATTATGTTTTTTTTCCCCAGTTAACTGTATAGGAAGAGATTGCCTTCATTAACTTCTGATGTACATCGAGTGATTTTGTTCTGGAAGCAGGGCTGGAGTATGATAAAAACCACTCAGGTCAGAAAAGAGATACAGGATTACCCCTAGTAGGCGTCCAAGGGCTAAAGAGTTAATGCAAATAAATGTAATTCCATCAATACCAGAAGGAAACTGAAGGATCTTTTAACACTGTTGTTGCTTTGCTTGACCCGTCAACTCTAAAATATCTTTCGAAAATATGTATATTGTAAGGCACGCAGGCACACACACGCACACATGGTTTAAAGCATGCATGCACTGATAGATACACAAACAAAATGAAACAAGCAACTTAAAATTTCTACTCCTGCTGCACAACACTATACAAACAAGCATGTCATGAATCCCTAATCACTTTCTGGCACCCTGTCGAGCGTGACGCACATGACATGGCATAGGGCTGCTCACACTCCCTCTTTGTGTCACACAGAGTTGACACATGAATTACACATCAGGCTCAAAATAAACATACCGTAAAGAACATGACAAGCATGGATCAGTCCAGGGTCCCACAACAGGGGGGGGGTGGGGCCTCGTGACACTCCAGTGATATTGAATAGTGTGAGACAGTGACAAGGGAGCAGGGTAGCTCCAGCAGGTCTACGGTCACATGAGAAATTGCTCGGATGTCTAGAGAAGCGTGTCTGAGGCTGGTGTTGGGGGTCACACTTTTTAGTGTTGTATTCGCAGGATGAGATGGCACTTCTATGTGTGATATTTCCAGGGGTATAAAAAGACTCTCAAATCACTAAATGGAAGAAATACAAGACAATAGTGTGCTTGAAATTTTACAGCTTTCCCTGACTGGCTCGCGCAGAATTCTGACCTCAACCATTTTGAATCCCACCTTTAGGATGAACTTAAACTGTGAGCCCGGCCTGACCTCACTAATCCTCTTGTGACTGAATGGTCAAAAAGGCCCACAGCCAAGATCCAAAATCTTGTGGAAAGACTTAGCGTGGTGTAGTGTGAAATAAAAGCACATTAGCGGTCATATCAAGGCGTACCACATAAACGACATGACCCTCACTTTATTTAAGAAATAAATGATCCAAATGAGCACGGTGGAACTGGGACACTTTTAACAACTGTTGATTTCCCCTCCTTCAACTCCTTTTGAGTAAATAATGACTTCTTGCGGCTACCAGGATTCATCCTTATAGATAAGAGAACTGCAAGCGCTTTTGTTGTTGCCATGCATGCTGGGAAATTCTCTTCATGAGGGGCAACACTGATGTTGAGCTGAAGAGATATTTTTAGCTTCTTAGTTACACTCCTGCACTAAAAGAAGGCGGCTTACACTCAAAGACGCACACATGCAGGAGACTGTGCATCACATTTGTGTGTGGTAGATTTAAAACAACTTTGATCTGTGTGTGTGTGTGTGTGTTCATTTGCCTAGAAAAGGGCAGTACTCACAGGGAGGGATCGTGGACGAGATCTTTGAGGTTGACCCCACTGCGGTCCTCTGCTAGGTTTCGAAAACAGCTGTCACTCACTGGATAGGCAGCGATAGAAAGAAGAAAAAATGCGGTTAGCTCCAAGTTCTAATGTTATATTACATGCATAGTCCAGGAAAAAGATTTTTCTTTGCCATAAATGCAAGTAATTACAAGGGAAAAGCAAAAAAAAAACCTCAAGAATTTACGTTTATAAACCTTTTTATTCTTGTGTCTGCCTCCTAATGCAGTACGCAAGAAAAATTACTATTTTTTACTCCTCTAATTTTCCAAACTGTGCCTACCTGTGAATCCACAGTGGGAAACTGAACTGATTACCAGATGAAGGAAAATAGTGAAATAAACCAAAACGATTCTCCTTGTGAACAGATGAAAAACACCAGAGGAGGAAAATCCAGGAAACATCCCTCCACACGCACCTTTATATGGATCTCTGCTGTTTTTGTTTTCATTCCTACATTTCACACCTATGCCTTGGCAAACAGAGAATCTCCAGCACACAGGTTTCGTCCTGTCAAAAACGGGGACAACAGGATGCTGTTATTTGTTGCAGCCACACTTGTCAGCTGCGACCGTTATAAGGCAGGTGTTTCTGTATATCAGAATCATGTCTGGTGTAACTGCTATATTGTCGCCTGAACCCCGTCTTCCAACCCAAGCCATAGTGCAAATTAAAAAAAACAGTCAGGGTGTGAGAAAAATACATAGTGACACCCTTCCAAACCCTTCATTGTGCAGGCTTTTTGATATCGGTGAGCCTATGGAAAGCCACACCTTCACGCAAACCCCCCTCGACTGCAGAGCAGGTGTGAGCCACATGAGTCATCGCGGTGATGATAGACAGATAGAGTGATGGATAGAGTAAGACGGGAGGAAGATGAATATGTGGAGAAAGAAAAATGAGTAACAAAGCAAAAGGAGACAGAAAGAGACATTTCAAGATAATGGAGAGAGGGATAAGGTGTTTTGTAATCCAAAGGGTCAAACATGAGCAGACACGCACTCGCATCTCAAAATAGATCCAAAACGAGTCAATGGAGGGGGTGATGGCGGTGGATTTAAGCCAAAAAACTTGATGCACTAGTCGTAGCCAACACTGGAAATGTCATGATGTTACTCCAATGTAAGTGCCATGATCCATGAACAAGAGCGGGTGGGGAGGGGGGG